AACTAAGTTATCTTGCTTAGATGAGGCCTATTTTAGCTTAAACGATTCCATGATTCTATTCACTTAGGGAAAGTAGAGCCATATCTGTCTGCAAATGAGTGTAAACCAAAGCAGAGGGATAAACAGCACAGTCGAATATTATTCCCTCTCTTCGATTTATGGCATATATTCTAAAAGATGCAGTTCCTTGCAGATATTAAGTGCCAATGTTCTCTTTACTACTTTAATTTTTCTATCCAATAATATGATTTTGAAGCAATCCTTTGATCCAGCTAGTGCATAAACAAAGCACGCACGTGATATTTCCATCAGTAAGCTTTCTGTGAGCCATCATTTTTTTGAGATGTGCTATATTTTTACATATATATATATATACACATAAAACATTCTCCAGGAAATATACTCTGATTAGCGGGGGAAAAAAAAGCACATGGGTGATTAGATGCCTTTCTTTTTCCTCAGAGTTTAGGAAATGGGGCCATGTTCTTAATTTCCTGAGGTTACATTCAGCAAATTGTACTGGGGGAGAAGAGAGTTGGTAAATAGGCTTTGGGAAGAGTGTGATTTTTTCTGAGATGCTTATTCTGGACTTGCTGTAACTTAAAACAGTGATTTTGAAGTTTGTTTTTGTTCATTTGTAGACAAGCAAACTCTTAAGGCTTTTAAATGTAAACAGACTAATTTTTTAAAGCACATAAAAGTCTGCTAATAGTGTGCTTTCTTTTTCACCCTTCACATAAAGCAGGTTTTCATGGGTCAAGCTTAAGAAAACTCATTGAGTTAATTCCTCTGTGGACTCCTTGGGACCAAATGCAAGCTCAGCTGTGTTTCAACAAAGATTCAAACCTCTGTACGAGGACCTCCAAGGAATGGGCAGAAGGGAACATTGAGGAGTTACTCTGCTCCAAGTGGCAGCTCCTCTCCTTGATACTCATTTTCAGCCTTTGGGCTGCTAAATCCACTTCCATTACCATTGCAAGGTTAAAAGAGGACCAGGAAAGCATCCAGGGGACTTCCTCATCTGTATACATTCGGTTACACTTTATTTTGGTGTGTGACAGGAACTTGTGTAGACTCATATCTGGAGTCCATTTACATAAACTATTTTTATACTGCTGGCAGTGTGGGGCTGCAAAACCCTTCTGAGGAACCATTTGGATGATTTACCCAGGCTGACCAACTCTTGATGATATTTATACCAAAAGAAGCCTGAGGTCAGATCAAACACCTGCTAGCACAGTATTATCTCTCTGAAAGTGGTCAAGAGGGAAAAGTACAGGAACAAGATAAGTACAGGAAGTTATTTTACCACATTACTCAACCACCTTCAGCAGGTTGTTTTTTAGAGGCTTCTTAAATCAGAAGTGATTTCAGTGGATCCTCAACATGAGTTTTCCTGGCCTCTTATTCAACTCATGTCAAGTTCTGACATCTAGCATATCCCATGTCAATGAGTTGTATAGTTTCTCTATAAAGTGTAAGGAAGATGAAGTAATCTTACTGACTTGGCATTTCTTTTCCTACAATTTTACTCTATGTCCCCTGCTCTTGCATAAGAAACATGAGTGAAGAATTGTTTATTATTTTCTTTGCTTAGTCATGATTTTGCACTCCCTAAAAATACATTTCGACCACCTCATCATCTTTCTTTCATAATGAAAAGTTTTAGCCCATTTAGTAATTCCTGTTATGGAAATATTTCCATTCCTTGCTACCTTTTTATGTTCCTTTTGCTACCTTGTCACCTGAGTACTTAGATACCTTGAGGACTTATGTAAATTAAAGTTTGGAGTTCTTGTTCTTGTAAGTTCCTGCTTCTGCAGCTGATGTTGTTGTTAAATAGTCAAGTTAATTAGTTTATTTGGGCATTTATATTTTAGCTTCAGTCTCATGTTGGCATTTTAACAGAAAAAACACTCAGTAAGTTATACTCCCACAACTACTAATGAGGTGAAGGTCAAGCATGAACTAGTAGCTTGACTGAGGAAGAAGAGGAGGGATAGAGAGAAGAAAAATATTTTATTTTGTCAGAATATTTGGTCTTGTGTGTTTGTTTATACAAAAATAGAAATGTGAGTGTTGTTAAAGTAACACAGAAGTGCACAATACGTTCTCTGTTGAATAGCTTTGAAGAAATGAAGATTCTTTTGCAGCAGATGGCTGCTGAATGAGTCTGCTGGCTCAACTTAGGCCATTCTAATGATAATGTCTTCCTCTTTAGATCTTGAGCTATCAGGTGCTAAAGGTTTGATCCTAACAGTGCTAATCAAACTAGATTGTGGTTTTCTCTGTAATTCCACTTTGGCTATCTGAATTCATTAAATTGTCTGAATCAGGGAGGAAAACGGAGTGAACAAAATGGTCAACTCAGTTTCCATTGCCTCAGAGCACTGCCAGAAGCAGCTTGCTGATTATAGCAGGGGGAAATGTTTATTGCTATCAGCTTACTCTATATGGGGAGCTCTTGTACTAAAATGAAGTATAAAATCAAGGTATAGAAGCATCATAACTCGACTAGCCAAAAGAAGAAAATCTTTTAAAGCTTTTTATTGGTGCCATGTTGGCATTTATGCAACTCACAATTTAGAACTGAACCAAAGTTGCACAGACTCCTCTGTCTTTGCTAATCAGAATTTTGATTCATTTTCTTTGGAAACTTCATTGCATATAGCAATTTCGTTTTATGAGACTGTTGAATGTCTCCATAAACCAGCATTTTTCAAACTGTAATTCAATGGTCGTTGTATAGAAATGCCAAAAAACTTATCAGAATCAATGATCTCTTGTAAAATGTTGTCTCAGGTTAGCTGTCAACTAAATCGAATACCCTTGTTAACTATATCCATCTTTGTAACAACTTTTTTTATTGTCACTTGTATTTTTTTCAGGGATGATGTTATGCATTTAAAACATTTAATTAGAGATCTATTTAAAACTTAGTAAATCATTGCAAAGCAAATCTGCCAGACACTGCTTTGGATTCCACCTAATTCTGGATCTCTTTGATGAATCAGCACTGCTGGTCTGTCAGGCTACACACTCCAGTAAATATTTAGTACCCTGCTGTCTGGTCTCAATACAATTTAGTTCATGAACCAACAGACAGGACACTGCATCAGGATTTTTCTTACTCCATTTCAAGTAGTTCAGTGGTTGCATTTGACTACAATAAATAATAAACCAAAGGAAAAACCACGACCAACAACAACAAAATAAATCCACAAAAAACCTTACAAACCAAAGACTAAAAAACCCTGCACTCATTTATCTGTAATGGGGCTTTTCATTTTTATGCAGAAGCTGCCGCTGTTTTATGCTACATAAAAATTAGGATTTTTGTTTGAGATCCTTGAAAATCATATTTTGAATTAATGTGCAATTCTTAATAGAATAAAATCTGCAGTCTATATATTTCATTGTGGAATCTTGCCGTGCTCTTAAATCAATGCAGACTGTTCCTTCATCAAAACAGAGTTTCTGACCCAACGCAAAATAAAAGTTAAAGCCCTTATATTGCTATACAATTATTATAGGTGAGGAACATGAGGTGTTTCATGTGGAAATTTTGCTGGGAATCACTCATGCACTGGTTAAACTGGACATATATTTCAAAATAGTTCTATCTTTTTTTCACCTTTTGATTGATAATCTGTAGACACTTTTTTTAATGTATTGAAATAGGGCAGCATTGTAGAACGTGCTGTGATATATCCTCTGTTTTGATGACATGAAAATGTGCCTCTCACCAGTCAGACCCAAATAAGCCACCTGCTGCCCTGAATCATGGCTTGTACACAGGAAAGACAGGAGACAGGAGGGTTTTGGCACAAGGGCATATTACAGATGTAATCACTAGGAATCAAACCATTGGAATAAAGGATTTGGCAATGAGTAATTGCCAGGCTTGAGAATGAAGAAAAGGGAATTATGCTGGAATGAAGGATATGGGAGTGGTGATCAGTGGAAAGATAGAGGAAGTGACAGATTTCTGGGGAGACATGGGCAGTGCTGCTCAAGCTCCCTGTCCCCCTTTCAGCTGTGCCTTTCCATTGCTCGCTGCCAACAGGAAACAGCAGTGGCAGTAGAAAGTTCTTCTGATGTGGCTCCTGCTGGTGTTTTTCCCTAGCAATTAACCAAGAAGGAGAGCCCAAGAGAAGGAGAACACGTAGCTGCAAAGGAGGAAAAGGGCACAGCACAGGTCCTTTTTGTCCCATGTTTCTGCTGAGCTCTGTCTCTGCACCTCAGTCTGGGGCCTGGTGCAGTACAACCTCCCTTGTGTAAGAAATGTGCATAAGAACATGGTTGTCATTTCAGTGTTCACTGGTTTATTGTAACTTTCCCAAATAACCATCAACAATGAGTAAAGCTAATAAAAAAATATAGTGTTGGTTAGATTGTCAGTATTTAAATTTTATCACATTTCTGTTAAGAAAGAGAAGTTCATTTCCTAAATTATTCTCTGAGAGATCACATAGTCATAGAACCAAAGAAAAGTTGTTAACTTTGTTGTCTCACTAAATATCCCTACACTTGCCTTTGCATATCTTTAAAACATCGTTGTACTCACTGCTGAAATCTGCTTTTGAAGGGGCAGCTTTGCTAACAGATTTGAAAAATTGTGCTATATGCCCATTTTTCTCATTAGAAAAGTTGAAGGATTTTTTTTTCTTTTTCTGTATATGTGATTAGTAATCTTTATAGTTTTATACTGACCACTCAAAGCAATGTAGTAATTAAAGCATAGTTTACTTAACAAAAGTTCAAGTATATTGAGTAGTGGAACACACTAGTAACTAAAATTAAGCATACCATGTTTATTGTCTCTATTACTATTAAATTTAAAACTTTCTCATTGAAATTCTGTTGTTCAATGGCACTATAGTAAAATCACAGTGATAATGCAGTAGTCATGCCTAATATTTGATATTATCATAGGGAAATCAATTGAACCAAATGTTCTCCTTGTCTTCATGGATTATGTTTCTGTGTCTCATCCCCAGGTTTGGAGATGGTTATTCTGTCAAGGTTTGGCTTAGCAAAGAGATAAGTTATGGAAGAATGATTTTGGACTGTCTACAACTGAATTTTCCTGGAACACAGTTTAAGGTACAGATAAAACTCCTTGTTGTATATGGTAGGTTTAATTTGGGGCTGGTAAGAACAGTATGTACATGTTTGGATATATTGATCTTGGGAAAAGTGCATATGAATATCCCTTTTATTTTTCTATTAAGCAATTAATAAAAAAATTGGACTTGTGATGCTGGTTAAATCAACTCCAAACAGACATTTAGACAATGTAAATAAAAAGGCCTTTTCTCTGACTGAAAATTTCCTTTTGCTTTTATTACTGATGAAGTTGGACTCAAATCTGGGTTCACCTGAAATTGGACTACAGTGTAGTCACTAAGAGTATTTGATTTGACTGCTTTCTGATAAGGCCTGGAGTTGATAAGTCTCAGCCTTTACTGAGATTCTTTGATTTAATACAAAGCCTTGTAAAAGACCTATAGCAATTACATTTCACTAAAAACTCTCAAAGACTTTAACTGTGTTTAGGAAAAGAATAATGGAAAGCAATGTCTGTCTTAGATGCAAACCTCTTTGTGCATATAAGTCTGTATTGAGCTTGGACAGCCGTGTGTCTGTGTATATGCTCAACCTTTTCCCAGACTGCATTGGAATAGCACCAGTCTGTTAGTTTAAAATTGCCCTAAAGTTTTATATCTTTTATGAGATTAACAAGTTGTCACCTCAGAATACTCACAAAATCTGTGATCTCAGTATGAACCGCTCTTTGTGTTATGAATGTAGACAAATGTGTTCTTTTTTAAAAGCTCATGTTTTCCATATTAATCTGCAATAAGAGCCTGTTGAAGTTAGACTGATTATAAGCAAGTATAGCTTCATCACAAAGTATATTCACTTTTATCTATTTTTATAATTTTTTGCTTGTTTTCAGGGACAACATCTTAATCTGCTTGAGTACCATGTACCGAGAAGTCAGGGATGTTTAGCAGAGCTCTTCAGAGTCCTAGAGAATCACAAAACTTTTCTCCAAATCAAACACTACTCCATTAGCCAAACCACATTAGAGCAGGTATTTTACCATTTTTCTTTCTTTTCTTCCCAGCCCCTATACTTTTTTCCCTTTTATCTAAATGTACTGTATATTGTAGTTATTGATGTGGTAGAATATTCTATCATTTGCTGATTATTACCTGAATATATGCAGTACTCCAGCAGCTCCATCTCAGTTCACACAGTAATTCCATGTCCCATGCTGCTTCTACACTGGAGTAAAGCATGACAGCAAGCCACATACTTGTAGTATGCACAAATATAATCTGCTTAGATGAATCTGGAGCTTTATGGGATGACAAGGTGGGACTGTGAACTGTCACCTCCACAATCCAAAAGTTGGGATCTTACCAATGTCCTTGAAAAGGCTGAACCGGCCTCTGTAAATTGTGGTAGACCTTAGAATTTCAGAACATTTTCCTGTGAGAATTTTAAATGCACAAACGGTTGGAAGAGACCTGATTGCTAAAGACCGTGAAATCCTATTGTGAGAAAAAGAAAAAAGAAGACATTGATGGCAGGCATGGGATTTCTGGGTGACTGTGATGTGGTACAGCATCTTCATATGCAACTGCTTGTTATTCATTCTGCAAACCAAGAGGCACATCTAGTCAAAATATTAATTTTCTATGATTGATGGTGTGAATTTGTTCCTTTTTCCCATGTGCAAATCATTATTGAAGTATTCTCCTCTGTGCTGGTCTACTAAGTACTTGTAAATGATCTATTCTCTGGGTGACTGAGTATAAGATAATTTCAGCCTGTTTCTTCAGGCACTGTTCACTCAGGTTTACTTCCTCTCTATTTTTCAGCGTGATGCATCACCTCAGTCACCTACCACGGCTTCCTCTCCCTGACTGTGTCAGTTTAAAACAGGAAAACAGTTCTTCACACTAACACACTTATAATGCACCCCAAGTTTGTTTATATATCATCAGATGATAGAGGATCATTTGAATAAAGAAGAATCATTTTTCCTTCTACATGCGTTGCTGTGAAATAGTTGTGTGTTTAAAAATGAAACATGCATTTACATAGTAAGATCTGTGTTTAAAAAAACACGAACCAATTCAAGGAGGCACATTACTTGTTGAATCAGAAGTGTGCTTTTCCTTGAAATATTTGCACCCCCATCTGTAATATTTATTGGTAGAAAAAACAGACTCAGATTCTTTAGGTATGTCATGAAAAAAAAAGATAATTAAAACCATTGTTTCACATTTACTTGTGCATAAAATATATTTTTCATATCTCTGTAACTCATTTTACCCTAATTTTTATCATTTATCAACTCCTAGAGTTCCTTATTTCTAGAGTTTATAAAACATGTTTGTAGAGGATTTCCCTCAACATGAGTCATAAATTATTTTGTCAAAAAAGCTAATGAGAGCAGTGAAAAAATACCATCACCTATATCCCCAAAGTCTGAATTCAAGTACTTTTATTTTGAAAATCCTACTTTTTATCATGTCTTACAGGTATTCATTAATTTTGCGACACAGCAACAAGGAGTCTCGCTTTCTTCACAAGGATCTCCTGTTGTTCATCATGATCATCTCCCAGTCTAGGCTCAGAACAGGACACAGCTTCAAAATAACATCTCTGTGTGTGTGTGTTTGCATACATGTACACACAAGCCACATGCAATAACTTTTCAACTGTGAACAATTTGTGTATGAGAAACAAATAGTAGAAGCAGAGGTGAGTTTTCATCTGTAGGCCAGAAGAAATGGTACCAGTTCTTGTTTAAGCAAGAAACTGACTATATGTGGACCAAAAATCTGCCAAAAAGTAATGTTTTCTTAATTTAACTGGAATTTTAAAATATAAATGGCCTAATTAATGCAGAGAAAAAAAGGCTGATCTGAAACGTCAGTGCATTGTAGATTTTTTTTTATGGTGGTTCTGCATTCATTTGACTATAGTACTTCCTTGCATGCACATTTAATATATAATTTTTACATGATAAGGCAAGAAAAAACAATTGAATGGTAGCATTGACTTGGCTATCATGCAGTATTTTTATTTAATCACACACATAGAGAGCTTTTAGATTTCCCTGTTAATTCAGTTCTGTGTTGTGATAAACTAAATTAACTTTTTTAATGTATCAAGGATGCACTGTATTCCGTAAGGTTTATGTTAAGGAAGTTATTAGTGTACTAGCCTAGTCTGCCTCTCAGTTTTCTTAAGTAAATTTAACAAGTTTTCATAAATCATACTTGACAATGAACTTTCCCCTAAGCCTGCGGGTTGCTGCTGCAAGTATCCTCAAGTACCTTTTTAATGACTAGTTTGTTTTTCTCATCTTTTAGTTTCCTTTTTCTCCAAAAAGAATGTCAAAATACTGTTTAATGGGAATGTTAAAGGAAAATAAGATAAACATTCAGACTGTGATCAATAAACTTCTCAATAAATGTAATATTGATTCTAGATACTTCAGACAAAACCACCGTCTTCAGCCTATACTTATGTTAAAATAAGTGAGCATTTAATGAATAAAAACTCCTTGTGTATTGTGCTTGAAGAAAAAAAAGTATGCATTTTTTTTGTAGTAGGTAGTTCCCTGACCCAAAACAAGTCTTTGCAGCTCCTATAAAATTAGCTCACTCCACTTTTATTGGGCTATGTTACCAAATAGCTAAAATTGTTGAGCTGGTGACTTAGAAGTTAATTGCTGCAATATGATTTTGGGTGGGCAATGGTGAGGGAAGTTCAGTTTGAGATGAAAGAATTTGATTTTAAATGGCCAATATTGCAGAGCTGCTGCTATAATTCCCTGCTCTACAATGATGAAATATTAAAAAAAAAAAATTGTGTCTTAGGCTTTGCAAGCTGACTCAGAAGAGTCTTTATTGAGGTTTGATATGTTCATGTGCTTTGGACCATTATGCTTTTTTAAAATCAGGAATTCAGTTTGCTTATTTCTAAAAAGATGAAATCAAGTCCCTGAAAAATAAATAAAACCCTAAAGATTTACAGGCTTTGCTAGTACATATGGGTCAGAATGAATGAGTTTATGAAAGTTCTTTATCATTAGAATGGATTGGTATAATATCAGAACTCTGCCAAGCTAGTCAGGACCCAGAGCACCTAGGAACCATTAAACTCCAACAGCCACCACCCTTGTAGAAATGCCATAGCACAATGTGATGTCCATATTTGATGTGAAAACAGTTATCTTTAATTTCTTCATGAGGCTGAGAGTAGAATGTTTCTAAGGTTGCCAATTAGAACAAAAACCAGTCAATTTTACATAGCAGAATGTGAGAGAAGTAGTGGACATGAAAAGAAAAAAGAAGGCAGAGACAGGAAATTTGGGCAGAAACAAAAATATGCCATTATTGAAGTAGCCTGCTTAATTTCAGCACCTCAAGATGGAAGAAACTGAGCATTCATGGAACAACCAAGGATCTCGAGTCATAGTCTGAAACCACACAACAGAAGAATGTTTCTGTAGCTCTTAACTGAAAAAAAAGTAGAAGGGAAGATATGGCAGTCACATGCACAGGGCTTTTGGCTTTTTTCTTTTATATTTGTTGGTAGATTTCATTTATTATATTGGTAGACTGCTGATATGACTGATTAATTTTCTTTGGTTTTTGTTTTGTTTTTATAAACTAATATGTCTGTCTCAACCACAAGTCCTTAAAACAATAATGAAATGTACTCAAGGAAATTTAGGGATTTGGGAAAGGAGATGCTTCCAGTCCTTGCAGTTTAAGGCAATTGAGCCAAAAGATGTGATTTCTATGAAATTGTGAAAAGAATTCACAATTTCTGAAATTTTGAAAATGAAATTGTGAAAAGAGTGCTTATTCGTGCTCAGGAAGAGTGTCCGGCAGTTGAATTAATAAAACAATCCTGCAGTTTGTTTTGACCAAGGGAAGCATAAAAGCGTACAAGACTCACTGTGGTGAGACTGAAAAATGGTAGCCTAGCTGAACGTTCAGATGGGGAGCTTCTTCAAGTCTTGGCTGTGTAACACTAATTAAATGTCACTTTTTTCTGATTAAAATATGAAAGATTATATTAGTTTAATAGATGAATACAGTAAATAACGTTTGCTTCAGACTGATGGTTGAGTAAATTCAGTTAACAGTGTTTTTCTTTTCTTAAATTACTTCATATGCATCTCAGGAGACCCAATTTAATTCAGGCAAGAAGCAAACAATGTCTGTCTACCAATCCTTTATGGGTAAAGAAGGTCAAAATCTAATTGAGTGCCAGTGTTCCAGGTTCTGTCTCAGAGGATATTTTCCCTTTCTTTAACTTGTGGCATTCCTAACATATGAAAGTTTCAACAAAAGTATTTTGAAGTTTTTTTTTCCTAATTCACTTATTTATTTATCAAAATAAATCACTAAACTAGGAGTCTGGACAGAAAAGGTCAATTATACATTAATGATGAAAGAATCCTTGAATTCATAATTCATGAAGAAGTATATCTTCTTTTAACACCTCTGTATTTGGAATCAAACACAGCTGAAGATTTTAAACAATACTTCTCTTGTGTGATTCTTGTTAGGAAAGTTTCATTCTTTTTCAGCTGGAAATTTCTCTGACTATGAAAGCAAGCCCTTCACCCTGAACAGTAAACTAGAATTAAGCTCAAAATTATAAAATCAAGTGAATATTTGAAACAGTCAACACTAAAACTGGGAAAATGATAGTCATATTTCTAAGGGACTATTCCACAGCTTAAGTCAAAAGAAGGGCTTTGGCCAACCTTTGAGCAGATCGCTTCAGGCCCTCTTTTAATTTTCATACAGTAATAGAATTATGTGACCAAAAAAACCCCAATCGGTCTGAACTTTAAATCAAAGTGTCACATATTCAGTGGGGGTGGAAGGGTGATAGTATTAGTGTACAAATGGCACTTTGAATATGGCTGCATATTAAATTTCTGTACAGTTTTTCTTCTGGAAAGAAAGAACTTATTTCTCTGGTTTGGTTCAGTCATGACCACAGATGATAAATTTTGCCCAGGGTAGTGCAAGGTGTGTAATATGATTTTCAGCAAAGGAATTAGGTGCCTTTTGAGCTTGCTTGTCCTTGTGAAATCTGAATCACTGGGGTCTGAAATCACATAAATTTGGAAGCTGAATCGAACACTTACTGGAACTGCTTAACTCCTAGATCTGTCTAAAACCAATTTAGGTAAGGATATTGCTTTCCTGGTCTTTTCCTAGTAAGTAGTAAAGCTGACACTTTCTTTGATTCAGTTTAATATGATCTAATCTTTTTATGTAAGCACTTTCAATTTTTCTTTCTCAAGAATAGGGAGATCAAAGCTAGCAGTAAAAAGATCTTACTTAAAGTGATTGAGAGCTGACTATCTCAGACCTACAAGAGCTAAAGAGAAAATGTTTTCTGAATTGTGTATTAGAGCCTTACAATACAAGTAGAACTGATGCTGCTGCAGGTGCGATGGGAGTGGGCAGCAGGTACAGAGCAGAAATCACAGCTGTCTCATTCTTGCACAGAAAGCAGCAATCTGCTGCTATCAACGGGCCAGGTACTGCTGAATGTTTTAGCAGATTAATTCTCCATGCTGAATAATGATATGGATCACTGAAACAAATCAAAGCATCTTTCTTCTTTATTAAATTTTTCTATCACATTCTAATATTGTTCCAGCAGTACCCTCGTGCTTATTGCTACATGGAGCTATGTGCTGGGATAAATTCTGACTCCTTTTGTAATGGCCCTGTAAAAGCCATGATCAGAGTCTCCACTGTAGGGGTGTATGCACATCTTTAGCTTAGGCTGATCAAAGCACCAATGTTCATATCTTCTTTCTATGATATATAAATGGAGAAAAAGAAAGTATAAGCTATGTAAGTAAAAGTCAATAGGTGAGATTTCCACGTGCAACTGATTTATTCCATCTATAGAACACCACACATACTTAATTTTGCTGCCTGTGCATGCTATGGGCAATTTAAAGAAGTGCCTTGGGGTTAACTGGCTATGAGGTGCCCAGCAGAAAAAGATAGGATCATCTAACATGCAGTGGTATAAGGTAAGATCAAACAAGAGTCCTTTCACCCTCTTATTGAGACAAACGCTGGTTAATAGCAAAGTGTAATGCATATAATTTGAGAAAAGTATCAGAAACACTTTTGTCCTTAGCATGTGCTGAAACAGGGAAATGCAAACTTTATTCCATATATCACTTTTACATCAATCTTAATTCCTGTTCTACTCGCCTTACTATATGCAATAACCAGACCCCAAAAAAATTCCAGTGTTTCTCTCAGATTAAAATATTTTTGAAATGTGATTCAGCTTCCACAATATGTGAAAGCTCGTGGAGTTTTTTCCCTTAGATTTTATTGACAACTGGTCCTTAAGACTTATATAATTATAGGTGAGTATACGAGTGAAGGAGCATGTGACATTTAAGCTGAATCAAACAGAATATGCTTGTAATGCTCTAGCTGAGGAGTTGTAGTCATCTGATACTTTGTAGTTAATTATAATTGTCTAATAAGAAGAACCTGAAATTGTTTTCTTAGAAGCCTGTTATCATAAATAATTCTGTTAGCAATGTGTGAATACAAAA